CAAATTGAGAAGAAACAGTTGCAAACATCCATTAATAATCAGAAAATGGAATGTACAAAGTATGAATCAAGGAAAATTGGTTGTCAAAAAAAATGTCAAAAATTGGTAGGAAAAGTTGTCAAAAATGAAATGGAACCCATAAAGATTGATATCCTAGGCATTAGTGGTTTAAATGGACCGGTTTTGGCCATTTTGAATCAGACAACCATATGATCTACTATGCCAGGAATGACAATTTGAAGAGGAATGGTGTGGCATTCATCATTGCAAATGATGTTTCAAGATCTGTCCTAAAGTACAGTGCTGTCAGTGACAGGATATCCATTTGTCTACAAGGAAGACCAGTTAATACTGTTATTATTCAAATTTATGCACCAACCACCAAAGCCAAAGTTAAGAAAATTGAAGATTTTTACCAACTTCTGCAGTCTGAAATTGACCGAACATGCAATCCTTCCTTCATTTTTTACTATATTGAATGTTCTCCTACTCTAATTTTGCTGTAATTTTAGCAAATTTTTTTTTCATGTTGAATTTCTTTTTTTCCTTGTATCTATTGATATGATTATATAATTTCTCAAATTGTTTTCTTAGCATGGTGAATTACATTGATTGCTAATACTAAATCAATCTAGCATTTCTGAAATAAATCCAACTAGGTCACAATATATTTTTCTTGTTATATATTGCTGATATTTGCTTCCTAGTATTTATTGAAGACTTCTGCATGGTGCTCTTGTTGGTAGATGCCATCGAGTCATCTCTGGCTCATAGTGACCTTATGTACAACAGAATGAAACACTGCCCAGTCCTATGCCAGACACACAATCCTTTCTATACCTGAGCCTATCATTGCAGCCACTGTGTGAGTCCACCTTGTTGAGGCACTTCCCATTTTTCATTGACCCTCCACTTTACCAAGCATGATATCCCTCTCCAGGGAATGGTTCCTTCTGACAACATAACCAAAGTAGGTGAGCCACTCTCGCTTCCAAGGAGCATTCCAGCTGCACTTCCTGCAGGATAGATTTCTTAGTTCTTCTAGCTGTCCATGGTACTTTCAGCATTCTTCACCAACACCTCAAATCAAAAGTATCACTCTTCTTCCATCTTCCTTATTTATTGTCCAGCTCTCTCAAGCATAAGAGGTGATTGAAATTCATGGCTTGGGTTAAGCACACCTTAGTCTTCAAGGAGATACCTTTGCTCTTCATCTCTTGAAAGTGGTCTTTTGCAGCAGATTTGTCTAATGCAATATGTCATCTCATGTCCTGACTACTGCTTCCATTGGTGTTGATTGTGGAACCAAGTAAAATGAAGTCTCGACAATTTCAATCTTTTCGCCATTTATCATGATGCTACTTATTGGTCCAGTTGTGAAGAATTTTCATTTTCTTTATGTTGCGGTGTAATCCAGACTGCAGATTGTAGTCTTCAGTCTTCATCTGTAAGTGCTTCAAGTCATCCTCACTTTCAGCAAACAAAGTTGGGTCATCTGTGTATCGCAGGTTATTAATGAGTCTTCCTCCAATCCTAATTCCACATTCTTCTTCATATAATCCATCTTCTCGGATTATTTGCTCAGCATAAAAATTGAGTAAGTATGGTGAAAGGACATAACCCAGACACAATCTCTTCTTGATTTCAAACCATGCAGTATCCACCTTGTTCTGCTTGAACGACAGCCTCCTGGTCTATGTACACATTCCTCATGAGTACAATTAAGTGTTCTGGAATTCCCATTCTTCTCAATGTTACCCATAATTTTTTATGATCCACAAAATCAAATGCTTTTGCATAGTGAATAAAATACAAGTAAACATCTTTCTGGTATTCTTTGCTTTCAGCCAAGATCCATCTAACCTTAGCAATGATATCCCTCATTCCACATCCTCTTCTGAATTTGGCTTGCATTTCTGGAAGCTCTCTGTCAATATACTTCTGTAACCATTTTTGAAGTATCTTCAGTAAGATTTTATTTGCAATATTAATTTGCAATATTAATAATATTGTTCGATAATTTCCACATTCTGTGGGATCACCTTTCTTTGGATGGGTACAAATATGGATCTCTTCCAGTCAGTTGGCCAGGTAGCTGTCTTCCAAATCTCTTGGTATAGCCAAGTGAATGCTTCTAGTGAGCCATCCATTTGTTGAAACATCTAAAAGTATTCCATCAATTCCTGGAGTCTTGTTTTTTTGCCATTTCCTTCAATGTAGCCTCAATTTCTTCCTTCAATACCTTTGGTTCTTGATCCTATGTCACCTCTTGAAATGAATGAACATTGACCAATTATTTTTGGTACAGTTACTGTATATTCTTTCCATCTTCTTTTGATGTTTCCTGCATCATTCAATATTTTGTCCATAGAGTCTTTCAACATTGCAACTCAAGGCTTAAATTTTTTTCTTCAGTTCTTCGAGCTTAAGAAATGCCAAGCATATTCTTCACTTTTGGTTTTCTAACTCCAGGTCTTTGCACATTTCACTGTAATAACTGGCTTTGTCTTCTTAAGCTGCTCTTTGAAATCTGTTCTGCTCTTTTATTTTGTCGTTTCTTCCATTTGCTTTAGCTACTCTCCATTCAGGGGCAAGTTTCAGAATCTCTTCTGACATCCATTTTGGTATTTTCTTCTTTTCCTGTCTTTTTAATGATCTCTTGCTTTCTTCATGGATGATGTTCTTGATGTCATCCCACAGTTCCGCTGGTTTTTGGTCATTGGTGTTCAATGCATCAAATGTATTCTTTAAATGGGCTCTAAATTCAGGGGGGATATACTCAAAGTCATATTTTGGCTCTTGTAGACTTGTTTTAATTGTCTTCAACTCAATTTGAACTTACATATGAGCAGTTGATGATCTGTTCCACAATCATCTCCTGGCCTAGCTTTGGCCGAAGATATTGAGCTTGTGTGTAACCTCTTGTCACAGAAATAGGCAATCTGATTCTTGTGTGCTCCATCTGGTGAAGTCCACATGTACAACCACCGTTTGCTAATCCAGGAACTGCCTATAAATGGTATATCTGAATGTACAAGTGGATTTTATATGTGTATAACATACTTGTTGTTGTTGCTGTTGTTGGTATGTGCTATGGAGTTGGACCCAACTCATAGAGACCCCTCCTTGGGTTTCCGAGGTGATATCACTACAGAAAGTATATTGTCCAACCTTCCTTCCAAGGAGTGGCTGGTGGGTTTGAACCACCAGCCTTCGGGTTAGCAGTCAAGTGCCTTAGGTACTATGCTACCAGAGCTCCTATAATACTTAGACATACTATAAATATTTAAGATAGAAAAGTTTCTTTGAAATACTGTCTTTCAAAAGTTTGAAACATTTTAAAGTATTTTTATTGTACTTTTTGTTTGTCTTACCTTATTTATTTTTACTTTGAAGCTATTTTATCTGTAAGAATATGTCTACAACATTTTGTCTACAGACAAAAATCTATTTGTGTTATATAAATTTATTTCTTAAATTTATTACAGATAATTTCTCATGATCATTATTCTATATACAGAAAATGCATGTGTGTTTATGATATTTTTATTCCTACTTTAACTTCCAAATAAAGCCAATTGCAGTAACTACAAGGAGCCCTGTTAGTGCAGGTGTTAAATGCTCAGCTACTAACCAAAAGGCTGGCAGTACAAACCCACAAGCCACTCTACAGGAGAAAGATGTGGCAGTCTGCCTCTGTAAAGATTTACAGCACTGGAAACTCTATAAGGCAATTCTACCCTGTCCTGTAGGGTTGCTATGAGTTGGAATGGACTTGACAGCAGTGGGTTTGGTTTTGGTTTGTCAGTAAACCACATGTTTTATAGAATACTTTCCCTTCTACACACTTCAAACTTAATAGTACGGATACAGATGCAATCTTTAATTATAATTATAAATTGTATAAAAACTACTATTACATAAGATTTTTTGTTGTTGTTAAATATTCTTTATTTGATATCATAACCAAACCACACTGAAATGCCTTTTGTTAATTAAAAAGCAACATTTTAGATACAGGGAACTTTAATTATATTAACACATATAAAAGCAAAATGATAAAGTAGCGTATCTATCTCCAAACCTTGCATTTCAACAGACTGATGGATACAAACTGAAACAGGAGAGTCTTTCTCTGTTCCATGAGACAGTGAAGAGACTTCCCTAGTATTTAAATGTATTCATGTAATCAGTTACATAAATCCAAACATAAAATCAATCTCCTATAGGTTGTGAGATGGCATTCACCATCTTTGTAAAAAATTGAACATTACTATTCCAACATTACTAATCTAGCCTCAAGTCCAATCATATCTTTAGAAAGGAAAAGCAGTGATAACACTTGCTGAACTGAAATTACCATCAAAATTTTAAAAGTTGATCATATTCATTTAACCATAGCCAATCTTATTTAATTCAGGACTCCCAATAAAAATATTCTATCAGCCATTCAGGATCTGAATTCTGGTGTATGAAGTCAGCTGGTATATGTGAGAAAAAAAAAAAGTCATGACACATTCCTGTTTTGTAATAAATAAAACAATAGCCAACTATTATTCTTCAGCAGCTTTCTTGAGGTAAGCTATCAAGTCTGCACTTCACGCCTAATTCTTAATGCCAGCAAAGATCATTTTGTTCTAGGGATGTACTTCTTGGGATTCTCCAAATACTCCATCAGTATGTCTTCTCCCCAGGTGATAGATACTTTTGCTCTTATTAGCATCTGTGTAAGAGGATTCAGGGGATTGACCAGTCTTCTACCCAAACAAATGAAAATTTGGCCCAGATTTGGGCTCAGCTCACTTTTCTTTCCACACTGTGGCACTGGGCACACTTCTGAACAAAAATCTTCTTGCCCTTCTCAACATCACACATTTTGAATTTACTCTCTAGTTATGTGTGAAACAAAGGTAACACTTCAGAAGCTGGGTATCCCATTCTCTAAGTCATGTTAGATCATTTTTAATGCATGAATGTTTAAAGATTAAGAAATTACTTACCAAAGCAATTCCTGCAGAATAACGACTATCACACATCTTTCCAGGAAATACTGCTCCAACATAATTTGGATAATCCCTGTAACTAAAAAAATAGGTATAGATTTATAATTTATTTTATCAAACAATTTAAATGTGAGAATTGCTCCTAATGATTTAAGTCTGCAGTTCATAGAGACCCAAGCTGAATCAACTTTAAGTAAAACTTTTCCATATGCTCTTAATTGTTTCAAATTTGGAAGATATTCTTAACTAAATTAGATTAAACACTCTGGATTTCTAAAATAAGTTTCACATTTATTTTGGGTTAGCTAAGTCTACAGTCAAATATTTTAACCAAAAACATTTTCACTGTATAGATTAAAACTTGTCACTCCTATGAAGAAAAGCTCACCAGTTTCTCATAGGGTGAAGTAAACATACAGTTCACAAATAAATACAATAACACACAATGTCTCCTACGCAACAGACAACTTAAAATCACATGTAAAAAAAAATGGGGGGGACAAGACGACTCAAGCAAGCAATCAAATAGGGGGCTAGTAAAACTTTCAGAGGAAGAAACAGTAATGGAACTACCAGGTAAGTAATTTTAAAGAATTCTATTTAGGATATTTCAACATATTAAATAAGAGATCAAGGAAAACACAGATAAAACCAAATACATCATAGACAAAATCATGGAAAATACATACAAATCCCTAGAAGAATGCAAGAAAACAAGAACAAGTTGGTGAACCAAACAGATAATAAGAAAGCAAACAAAAGTAGAATTAGAATTTGAGAAGATTAAAACTAAAATTTCAGAAATAGATAATGCATCGGAAGGGTACAGAAGTATAACTGAATCAGTGGAAGATAGAATCAGGAAAATTGAAAACAAATCCTTTAATATTAATCTATTAGAGGAACAGTAAGACAAATGAATGAAGAAAACCTAAAAATTATGTAGAACACCATTAAAAGGAGTAACTTACATGTGATTGGAATTCCAGAACAGGAAGAGACAAAAAAAAAAAAAAAAGGATACAGAAAATTGCCTAAGATTTGTTGGCAGGTAACATACCTAATATCATGAAAGATGAGAAGACTTCTATTCAAGAAGTTAAATTAACTTTAAATATGATAGTACCCAACAGAAAATTACCAAGGCATATCATAATTAAACTTTCCAAAAGCAAAGACAAAAAAATAAATAATCCTGAAAGCAGCTTGAGAAAGGGGAAAGTTACCTGTAATGGAGAACCAATAAGACTAAGCTCTTATTTCTTGGCAGAAACTACACAAGCAAAAGGCAATGGGATGACATATATAAAACTCTGAAGGAAAAAAATTACCAACCAAGAATTGTATATCCAGGAAAATCGTTCCTCAACAATGGTAAAATTAGGATTTTCCAAGATAAACAAAAATTAAGAGAATCTGAAAAACCACACCAACCTTAAAGAAATGTTAAAGAGAGTCCTTCAGACGGAGAACCAATAATGTCAGTGAAATTAAGACACATAACATCACCTGGAAACAAACCCAGTAAAATAAACTTGTAAGACTGAAAATAGGGAGTCTAGGTTCCAAGATGGTGGGTTAGGCAGATACACTATCCAGATCATCTACAACAAATATTCAAAAAGATAAAGAAGTATATCAAACACTAATGAGAGGAAGAAAATGAATGAAAACAGTGTACAAGAAGTGGTAAACTGCCAACTGGCACAATGGGGTCATTTTGAATTACTGCAGCAGTGTTCCAATCAGAGTAGGAACCAGAAAACTGGCTCCACTTGTGCAGGATTGCACCAGCACCAACATCGGTGATCAGGCAACAACAGAGGTGTGTCATTCTTCATTCCCTTACACAACCTCTTTGTGACAACTGGCAGAGCCCTCCCCTCACTTACCCACCCAGAGGCCAAACTCCTCTCATTGCCAGTGCTGTGCCAATTTTCTTTCACTTTATCTTTCTGCTTAGTCCACCTGCTCTTCCATCTTTTCCTAAGAGCAGGAGCCCCTCCTTCACTACCTATGTGGTTAGCAGCAACTGTCCCTGTCCCTCCCTGGTGAGAGGTTTGTATTCCAGCAGAGCAAGTGCTGCATTCCTGCAAAGGTATGTTTGGTGGCTGGCACATTCAATAGTAATGTACTGCTTTTTTTCTTTCTTTCCTTTCTTCCTTCTTCTTAGTTCTTCCCTCTTCTCCCCCTTGTTTTCCTCTTATTTCTTCTTCATATTCTCTTTTATTTTTTCATTTTCTACCTCTCCCCCTTTAAGGGTCCATAGCACCCATCCCACTCCTCTATGAAAAGCAGTGTGAACTCTCCTGGAGTGAGCCCCATGTTGCACCTGCAGCTGTGTTTGGCAACTAACATTTGCACTGTTTTTTTTTCCCCCTTTCCTTTTTCTTTTACTTTCTTCCCTTGTTCTGTCATTCCCTCTTCTCCCCTTGTTTTCTTTTCCCTTTTCTTCTAATTCCTCCCACCTTTTTCCCCTTGTTCCTTCTTTTTCCTTTGATCCAGCTGAATGAGTACCATGCTCCCCACTGCCTCTGTGTTCAGTAGTGCCAACCCTGACCCTTTGTATTTGGTGGTGTGTGCTCCCATCAAGTGAGTGCCACATTTCCATCACACCTGTTTTTGGCACCTATCACTTCACCACTACTCTGCTGACTTTGTTTTTGGGTTTTTGTTTGTTTTGTTCTGTTTCTCTTTCTTTCCCCCCGCTCTTTTTTCTCTTTTTCTTTCTTCTATGGTATTCCCTCTTCTATGCATTTATTATTTTCTTTTCCTTTTTTTTCCTTCTCCCTACCCCTCTCTTTTCTTGTCTTTCTATCTTTCCCTAACAGTTGGGAGCCAGTGACCACATCCAGCCATATCCACCCACACTGCTACTCTACCCACAGAGCAAGTGCCACCACCACCTCCAACACTACTGGACTGATGACAGACAGTGACCAACACCTGCTTCTCCTGTCCTAAGCTGACCCTGCCATGCTCTGCCGATTTTGGGACTTTTAATGGACTTGAATTAATGGCCTATCATGTGGTTTGGTAATATTGAGACTATGCTTTATTACTTCTCAACCTTTGCTTGTCAGCCTCAGCAGCCAGCAGCTGACTGAAGAAAAGCCTCCAGCTTCAGGGGACAGGAGAAGGAGGCAGAGCTGAAGCCCAAGGTTGAAGGGCTTTCACCCAGCCCCTAGAGCCTGGCACAATGAACTTGGACTTAAAGCCTCCAAACTGTAAGAGAATAAACTCCTGTTTCTTTAAGCCATTCCATTCATGGTATATTCTTGTCAGAGTGGTACCAGTTAACCAGAACAGACATAAAATGAACAACTTAATACAATAACAGTACAATGTCTCAGAGACACCAGACAACTTCAAATCACACAAAACAACAGGAAAAGATGGCTCAAACAAGAGACCAAAACACAGAACCAGAAAATTTCCTGGAGAAAGAAATGCTAATGGAATTATCTGAGACAATATTTAGGAACCTTCAATGGATTGAAATTTTGAGGAAACCACAGACAAAATCAAGGAAAATACAGACAAAACACTAGAAGAATTTAAAAAAATGAGAGAGAGACAAATTTATAAAACAAATGGAAAATTAGAAAGCATACAAAATACAGCAAAGACAAATCCATAAGATTAATAGTAAAATTACAGAAATAGATAATACATTGGAAGGACAAAGGAGTAGACTTGAATCAATGGAGCACATAATTAGTGAAACTTAAGACAATTCTCTCAACAGTAATCTGGTAGAGGAACAATCAGAAAAAAGAATGGAAGAAAAAAAATATGAAGAAAGCCTAAGAATCATTTGAGACACCATCAAGAGTAATAACCTGCAAGTGGTTGGAATTCCAGGACAGGAAAAGACCCAAAAAAAGCAGAGAAAACTGTTGAACATTTGTTGGAAGAAAAGTTCCCTATATTATTGTAAAAGATAAGATATACACTCTGGAAGCTCAGCAAACCCAAAATAGGATAGCCCCCTAAAGAAAATCACCAAGACAGGTAATCAAACTTTTCAAAACCAGAGTCAAAGAAATATCTTGAAAGCAGCTTTGGAAAAAAGAAAAGTCATCTATGAAGTAGAAACAATAAGACAAAGGTCTAATTTCTTGGCAGAAACTATGCAGGCAAGAAGAAAATAGGAAGATATATATAAAACCCTGAAAGAAAAAAATTACCAACCAAGAATTATATATCCAGCAAAACTGTCTCTCAAATATGATGATGAAATTAGGACATTCCCAGGTAAACAGAAATTAAGAGAATTAGCAAAAATCAGACCAACCTTACAAGAATTCTGAAAGGAGTCCTCCAGACAGAGAACTAACAATGGCAGACAACAACCTGAGATTAACACGTACAACACCATTTGAAAATCAACTCAGATATAGAACTATCAAAAATAAACTAAATGTACAAGATTGAAAATAGTGAATCAGAAATGTCAATTTGTAAATGATGCTAACTACAAAGCAAAAGTAGAGAATAAGTGATGATGAAGTTTCAAATGCAGAGGAAGTCAAGATGATATAAAGATAAATGGAAAAGTTTAAATTTGGGAAAGTAATAATAAATTGCAGTGTAACCTCAAAAAAATTAATAAATCTTTTCACTAAAAAAAAAAAAGAAGAAAATGATAAAGTTTCAGTAAACACTAAAACAGTAGCAATGAAGGAAATCCACAATCAAAATGAGCTCAGCAAAAAAAAAGCATACTGAACAAAGAAACCATCTAACCCCCACACACATATGCATACCAAAAAAAAAAAAAAAAACAGCAAAATGGCAGCAGATATATTCATATGTATAGATATTTATAATGAATGTTAACAGATTAGATGACCAGTCAAGAGACAGAGAGTAGCAGAATGGATAAGAAAACATGAACCATCAACATGCTGTCTAAAAGACACAACTTACACACAAAGACAAAAATAAGCTAAACATTGAAGGATGGAAAAACATATATCAAGCAAATGGCAACCAAAAAAGGGGAGTGCCAATATTAATTTCTGATCAAACAGATTTTAAGGCAAAAGAGACAAGGAAGTGATTTATTATATAATG